TATATTTAACCGATTTAATGTAAACGACCCCTATATAACTTTCGATTTGCACGAAATTTGGTACAGCCTAATCATTTAGGTCTAGAATGATGCCTGCCAAGTTTCGTGAAAATCGGTCCAGATTTAGATATAGCTCCCATATATAGTTTCGTCCGATTTCATGTAAATCGTGCCCCAAAGTCCCTATATATCTTTTGATTTGCACGAAATTTGGCATAACGTACTGAATTAAGCCTAGAGTGATGTCTGCCAAGTTTCGAGAAAATCGGTCCAGATTTAGATATAGCTCCCATATATAGTTTCGTCCGATTTCATGTAAATTGTGCACCAAAGTCAATATATATCCTTCGATTTGCACGAAATTTGGCATAACGTACTTAATTGGGCCTAGAATGATGTCTGCCAAGTTTCGTGAAAATCGGTCCAGATTTAGATATAGCTCCCATATATAGTTTCGTCCGATTTCATGCAAATGGTGCCCCAAAGTCCCTATATATCTTTCGATTTGAACGAAATTAGGCATAACGTACTGAATTAGTCTAGGATGATGTCTGCCAAGTTTCGTGAAAATAGGTCAAGATGTAGATATAGCTCCCATATATAGGTTCGTCCGATTTCATGTAAATGGTGCACCAAAGTCCCTATATATCCTTCGATTTGCACGAAATTTGGCATAACGTGTTTAATTGAGCATAGAATTATGTCTGCCAAGTTTCATGAAAATCGGTCCTGATTTAGATATAGCTCCCATATATAGTATCGTCCGATGTCATATACATGGTGCACCAAAGTCCCTGTATATCCTTCGATTTGCACGAAATTTGGCTTGACGTACTGAATTGAGCCTAGAGTGATGACTGTCTTGTTTCGAGAAAATCGGTCCAGATTTAGATATAGCTCCCTTTTATTATAGATTGATTTCAAGTAAATTGGGCATCATACTCCTCATGATAGTCAAATTGGCATCAAATTTTGCACAACGTACAAAATTGAGCATAGAATTACGTAGTTGCGTTTTCTAGAAGTACATACATAGCCCAACGGATGACCTATTTATATTTGTTTTAAGTCGATTTACATACTTTATGGATAGATCTAGGTAGATTCACATTTAGATAAATAGCACATATATTATTTCATCCAATTTCATGTTAATAATGCCCATAGTGGTGAAGGGTATCATATAGTCGGCCCCGTCCGACTTTACTACTTTCCTTACTGGTTAACTGTTAAAAATTATTTTTATTTTTTCCGTCAAAAATAAAAGTCTTTTTGGGATTTTTATTGTTTCCGTCAAAAATAACAGTCTTTTTAGGATTTTTATTTTTTTCCGTCAGGAAATAAAACTCTTTTTATGTAATGAAATTTATAAATCTCTGTCCTTATTACAATAAGTGTACACATAAGTAAACCAGATCAAAGGTAAAAAATATTTGTTATAAATTTTTAAAAAATAGTATAGTTTACCAAATCATGAATATTAATTAAAGAATCATTCCCCTGACTATTAGGTCAAAGGTTATATAACTGGTACTAAACTCTATATGTTTATTTACAAAAAAAGAGTTTTATTTCCTGACGAAAAAAATAAAAATCACAAAAAGAGATTTATTTTCTGACGGAAAAAAAATCCCAAAAAGACTTTTATTTTTGACGGAAAAAATAAAAATCCCAGAAAGACTTTTATTTTTGATGGAAAAAATAAAAATCATTTTTAACAGTTAAAAATCAACGTTTATTTTTTCCGTTAAAAAAATAAATAATAAAAGTGGATTTTTTTATTTAGGTCACATAATAACAGTTATTTTTTACCTGATTTGATATAACTTATAACCGTTACGGTCCCTGATTTAAAGGAACCCCCCATTCTCATTGTTTTATTTTTAAGATTTTAAATGGGCTGGTAAATGAATACCAATGCTTGTTTAGGTTTGTAACTTTGCACATATATATTTGAAGATTTAAAAAGGAAGAAAAATAATTTACAAAAAATTGTTTGTTGTTGTTTTGTTGTTTTTGGTGATCAAAGAAAAGTCCTTACTTTTGATGGCGGGCATGATAACTCCTCACTGGAACATCGCAATCCGAAAATTCCAACGGTGTTAGAAAGAGTACATGTCTGGCTCTCGTATGAACTAGGATTATTGACTTCGCACAACAAATAACAAAATGGCGGAACTTTGAAAATTTTTATGGAAAATCGCCTATTTTTTACCACAAACTAAGTTAAAAAATAAGGAAACTTCCTTATTTTCACCGATTGGGTGAATAGTTCATACGAGAGCTATACACTCCCAGAGAAACGTATCAAAATTTGGAACCGATTGGATTATTAGTTTTTGAGTTATCGTGCCCGCCATTCGCAAAAGAGAAAAACGCGTTTAAAGTTTGAGAAGCCCTTTAGCCGTCACTTGATGCTGACACAATAAATCGGCTATATCTTCAAGAGTTCTTGAGATTTTCACTTGATATTTGTAGAGACATTATTGAATTAGTGTAGATTCGAATTAAATCAAAACATTTTTTGACCCCGAGAATGGGGGGGTCCCCTTAATTACAATTACCTGCTCTATTAAATACATTGACGTACAATTAATATGATCCCTTTTTCACAACCACTCTGACAGCTGTAATAAAATGTTTTGGGAAATCCTACATGACAACTGCAGTTAATGTATAATTATTTTTTCAATATTAATGAGCGGAGATTAAAAAAGACACAACAACAAAGTTTCTGTAAAAACAAACACAAACAAAATGTCAATTGCAAATTTCCCACGAAACGCAGATTACAAATCCAACCTATATGACTGATGAGCATCATCATAATTAAATTATTTTTAAGATTAAATGAAATATTAACAGCACAATAACAACTTAACGTAATTAACTTTGGGTGGAAATTCATTAATAACATAAACGTGATTTGTTCATTTTAATGAGATTTTAAAGACCTCATTCAGATTTGCCGAAGCAGTCGGAAATTCGGTTTATTTATGCGAATTTGTGTTGTGTTGATTAATGTGCCATGAAAGCGGAAAAATAACAACAATAATGATTTCAGTATAAAAACCAGTAAGGAAAGTAGTAAAGTCGGAAGGGGCCGACTATATGAAACCCTTCACCACTTCGGGTATATTCAACAGATGAATCCTCACAGACGTCGTATTTTGAAAGGACCAGTAAATGAAGTTGGATCCATGAACATGTCATTCTGCAACCTACACTAAATTTTTCATTTGGTCAGATATAGAAGCTATATCTAAATCTGAACCGATTAGAACTATTTCAGGAAACTTAACATACATCATTCTAGACCTAATTCATTACGCTGCGCCAAATTTCGTGCAAATCGAAATATAAAAAGGGACTTTGGTACACCATTTACATAAAATCGGACGAAACTATGTATAGGAACTATATCTAAATCTAAACCGATTTTCACGAAATTTAACACACATCGTTCTAGACTAAATTCAGTACGCTATAATAAATTTCGTGCAAATCGAAGGATATATTGGGACTTTGGTGCACCATTTCCATTAAATCGTACGAAAATACATATGGGAGCTATATCTAAATCTGAACCGATTTTCATGAAATTTACATTATTATAGACACAATTCAGTACGCTATGCCAAATATCGGGCAAATCAAAAGATATAAAGGGTATTTGGTGCACCAATTACCTTATCTAAATCTGAACAGATGGTCACGAAACTTTGCACACATGCCAAATTTCGTTATGCCAAAATTCTTGTAAATCAAAAGATTTCCAGGGACTTTAGTGGACTATTTGCCTAAAATCGGGCGAAGCTATATATGGGAGCTATACCTAAATCTGAACTGAAGGTCACGAAACTTTGCACACATCATGCTTTACATAATTTAGTACGCTGTGCCAAATTTCGTGCAAATCGAAAGATATATAAGGACTTTGGTACACACTTTACCCTAAATCGGACGAAGATATATATGGGAACTATATCTAAATCTGAACCGATTTTCATTGAACTTGGCAGACATCATTCTAGACCTTATTCAGTACACTGTATCAAATTTCGTGCAAATCAAAAGATTTCCAGCTATATATGGGAGCTATATCCAAATCTGAACCGATTTTCACGAAACTGTGCACACATCATTCTAGATTTATTTTAGTACGCTGTGCCAAATTTCATGCAAATCGAAAGATATATAGGGACTTTGGTACTCCATTTATCTTAAATCGGCCGAAAATATATATGAGAGCTATATCTAAATCTGAACCGATTTTTCCGAATTTCAATAGGGTTCGTCCTTTGGCCGAATAAGTGACCTGTGCCAAATTTCATCCAATTCGGATCATAAATGCGACCTGTACTTTGTTTACAATTTAACACCAACAGACGGACGGACGGACATGCATAAATCGACTCAGAAAGTGATTCTATGCATATTCTCAAAAGAAACCATGGGTCTATCTCGATTATTTTTGCCTGTTACATACATATGCACAAAGACATAATACCCTGTACCACGGAGTGGTTGTGGAATAGTATACTCCGCATATTTTGTCAAACAATATCAAATAATCAATACTCGAAACTATCCTACAACAATGTGAATCAAATTGTACAAAGATTCGTACGCATTTATATATAGTCCCAATATCTTCTTTATTCTATTTTTTATTTTTGTCTGACCTCATTACTTATATTTCATTTGAGGAACGAAGAATATTTATTCAACCATAAAATTCATTGTGGATTTGGATTTCGCCGATCCAGTAGCGGATACATGTCAGTTGTCTTACATATTTCAAAATATACATTAAAATACAATAACAAAATACTGGTCTTTAAAAATCAACCAAAATCGAAAGATCAAAGATTTCTTTTATATCTTCGATTTTTATCACATCAACCCACATACATATTTACATTTGATTAATAGCATAACTAAAAATATAAAGCAAAGAAAAAATGCACCACATAACATGTTGCATAGCTCATACTCACCTGACGCATTGCTGTCAGAAATCCTTGTGGATTGAAGAAGCCTGTCATCCAAAAGACCTGTTTTGCCGCAACGAGCAAGGCATACAACAAAAATTCAAAAGTAAATGGAAAATAGAAAACATACATCAGATGATATAAAAATGACACAGATTAAAGACATTTCATGTCACGTTACTTTACGTAGTTTGACAAATTAAAAATAGGAAAAACGTCATTTGCAGCGTTAAGAGTTTTCATAAATCATTGCAAAAATAAAATAAAATTAAAACGTAGAACCAGCATAAATATGTGTATTTAGCAAACCAACTGCTGACAAGTATTTAAATTTAATTACGATTTTATTTAAATCAGAACACTCGCACACACATACTCACCCACCCATGTATGTATATGGGAGGTTATTTTCAGTTCACACAGATTTGTGTCATCTGCTCCGTTTATTTAGTTTAGAACTAAAAATTA